GTCGGGGCCGCGGCGCGGAGGGCGCGCGTGGAGGAGGCGGCGGCGCGGAGCCCCCGGCGCTGCGGCCGAGCTGCCGCCGCCTCGGCGTCGCTGGCTTGTCCTCTTCCTCCGCGGAGCTGAGGGCGGCATCTTTTTGCCCCAGCCCCGCGAAGAAGGATATAAAATTGTAGTCGAGGTACTACTAACCGGGGAAGGGGACGGGGGCTAAAAAACCTGCGGCGGCCGGGGCTGCTTCGGCCGACTGCGTTCCCCAGGCTGCCCGGGTGGTGCGAGGCAGCCGCAGCGGGATCGGGCCCGTGGGCAGCCGCGCCGGGACGTTATCGGGGCTCCTGGCAGATTTCTGAGTGATGAGGAAGGGGCAGGAAGCACCGGGGTGTCTTGTCCCCAAAGGGCGGCGGAGCTTCTGCCGGAGACATTTTACGGAGGTGAAAACCCGCCAGGCTGGATCGCTCCTCCGGCCCCACGGCGCTGAGCGAGCCCCCGGCCACCACCGCCGCTTTCACTGATGACCCCCTGACCCCTGGGGACCTCCCGAAAGGGACCCCGAGGACCGACCCAGTCAAACCCCACGGGGATGGGGACACGCTGGGTCTCCTCAGCGCCGGGGCCCGAGCCCAGCCGGTCTCGGCACCGCATCCAAAAGCCCGATCAGCTGTCCCAGGGCCTGGGCGAGGGTCCCGGGCGTCCTGAGGGGCTCCCGAGCGAGGGGGCTGCGTCTTGGCTTTTCTGCCCGCCGGTGGGCGCCCGGCGATGTCAACTGCGATGTCTGCCTGGGTGGTAACAAGACCCCATCCCGCCGTCTCCCGAGCCCAGACTAACTTCTTTCAACAGCCTCTGATGGTAATTACAGTAATCGGGGCTGCCATATATCCTTTAAGCAATTATGACACACAAAAAAAGTCCCCAAGGACCCCCTGTCGTGGGATGTTCAAAACGGTTTCCCTGCTGAACAGAAATCCCATTTTCTTAGCGCTAAAACTTCTGAGACGAAGCGGTACCTCGGGGAACGGGAGCGCTTTTAAACAGAGTTAATCAGTTATCGCATGACCCCGTGTCAAGCTTACATTTTTCCCTTCCCACCCCCCGCCCTGCGTCTTGCCCGTCTATTTATTTCATATTTTGCCCAGCAAGAAAGTTTTCTCATAACAGCCCCCGCGGGGCAGGGCTGGGGGCTCGGAGAGGTGGAGGGGGTGGGCAGAGCGCGGCCGGCCGGGCGGCGGGACAGGGCGGCCCCGCGAAGGCGAACGCGGGGGGCTCCAGCCGCTCCCTCCGCCGTGCCCCCCACCCCGTACACCGCCTCGCCGGGGGCCACGGAGCTGGGCAGACCGGCCACGCTGCTCCGGCGGCTGGAAACGTGCTTATACGGGTTTGGTGAGGTATTCCAGGTGCTCGCGATCTACGGCAGGAATACGGGGACGTGTAAGGAATATATGGGCCGTACGCTTATATGCATGGCGTGGATATGTACATACATAGTGCATAGGATTTTTTTTTTTTTCCAAAGCGGCTCCCAAACTTAAAATCTGTGTGGGGAAAACTAACACAAGTTTCTTCCGTCTCCACTGGCCGACTTAAGGGCCGGCAGAGGAGCCGGCCGCTCCACACCGCAGGCCGGCCGGGGAAGCGGGGACCCCGTGGCTGCCCGGTGCCCCGGGGGGGTGGCGGTCACACGGGTGGCAGCCCGGGCCCGCTGCCGCGGTGGGACGGGGTGCGAGGGGGCAGCGCGGCAGTGCCGGGCTCGGCTCCGGGATGCACCAGCGCTGCACGTACCGCTTCAGTGTCTCTCCCCCCACCCCCAGCCTGCCCCTCCTCCTCCTCCTTTGTGTGCGTGCGTGTGGATCCTCTCTCTCCCCGTGGATGCTAAGGACTGGAGAGGGAAGTCGGCCGCTTTCCCCCGTTTGCATTGTGCGATATCCGAATTCCCATGCTACACTTTTTGACGGGTCACTGGTGCCCCAATAGGCAGGTGGCAAGGAGGGCTTGTAATTACACACTCCCAGAAACCGTGCCCTGGCCTCAGCCCTCCTCACGGGCGCCTACCTGCAGCTCCAAAGCCGCGGTTTGCTCGCAGGCAGTGGTGTGCGGGGGGGGCATCCTTCAGCTGCGCTCCTTATTAATTGCGCAAAAGTTTTCTATTCTTTAACCTCTCTCCCCCCCCTCCCACCTTCCCTCCCTCCGCCACCCCTCCCTCTCGCAGTCCCTAACCTAATCCCCGTCCCTCTCGCCGTGTTGTGTATAGCAGCTGTCGGGTTTCATTTAGGGGAGAAGCTGGCAGCTTGTGCTCATTGGAGGCAGTCAAACGAGTTTCAATGGGCAAAATCATTAAGTTAACACTTTATCTAATGTCCCTATTGTCTGCCAGCAGGCATTGTCTTAGAACCTTAGCGCAGACATGTCTGAAAGTATCTCGGACTCCTAAATTCTCTAGGGAGCGAGAGGAGCCCCTGCGGCCTGTTTCCATTGCCCCCCTCCCGCCCCCCAGCACTGCTCCGCACGCTGCCGCTTTTCCCCCTCCATCCTCACCCACCCGTAGCCAGGGCTATCCCTGAACTACTTCCAAATAAATATAGCGAGAGCTCTCCATTGGAGTTTGGAGACCAAGGTTTGATGAGAGGGACTGAATTTCTAATTTAAGTTCTGGTAAGAGGGAAGGAGGCTGTTTGAAGCAGAGGAAGAGAAGAGAAGAGAAGAGAAGAGAAGAAGAAAACAAGGGAAAGGAAAATGAAAAGAAAAAGAAAAAGTAAACAAGGAAAAGGAAAACGAAAAGAAAAAGAAAAGAAAAATATTAAAGGAAAAAGAAAAAGTAACAAAGGAAAAGGAAGAGAATAAGAAAAAGAAAACAAGGGAAAGGAAAATTAAATAAAAAGAAAAAAAATTAAAGCAAAAAGAAAAAGAGAGCAAGGAAAATGAAGAGAAACATGAAAGTGAAAAGAAATTAAAAGAGAAAAATTAAAGGAAATAGAAAAAATTAAAAGAAAAGAAAAAAGAAAAGGAAAAAGAAAAAGAAAAAAGAAAAAGAAACAGCAGAAGACAGAAGAAGGAAAAAAAAAAAAAACAAAACCACAAACAAAAACGGAGAAAAGGGAGAAGCCGAGTGGGGTTTTGGCGGGTTTCTTAAACCGGGCTGCAATCGTCTCTGTACGAGTTTTTGCATCTCCCTGAGAGTATTTGCAATTCTTGTCAAAGCCGGTGCGAAAGCAGCGCCCGGCGGAGCGGGGGCTGCGGGCGAGGCGGAGCGGAGCGGACGGAGGGACACTGCCCGCCCGCCAGGCTCACAGCCCCGCGGGCTCCTCCGCGCCCAAAACACAGACGGAAAGTTTTGCTGCAGGTTTTAGGGTGAAGAAAATGGCACGCCTTCTCTGCCGTGGAAATCAGCCCCCTTTCGCTAGGGTTGCTAGCGGGAACAGGAGGTTGATTGGCTTCCCGATCATTTGATTTTGTTTTGGTTTGGTTTATTCTGTGTATCGGTCTCCTGACTGCTCTCCTGCCCAGGGAAAGTGCCGTCCTGTTTGCCGAGAGCCAGAAAGCCAGAGAAACACACACCCCCTCACCAAACCCCCCGAATTCCCTCCCCTCCCCCCTCAACCTCACTTCTTGCAGGCAAGACTGCTGCTCCCGCTGCTGTAATCTTCCCTTCCAAAATGGGTCTTGGCGATTATAGAAGATCCAAATAAACGTAGCGGGGCATGAATAATGCTCATTGTAGAAAACTGACACTTGCTCAAGGAAAAGAAAGTTGGCTATAAAATCACTTCATTATTTGCTTGTACTGCGGCTCTGGGGCTAATCCCTCCGGAGGTCAGATTGCTGAGAGCTCTCTCTCTCCCTCTTTCCCTTCTCTGCTTTCAGGTCGCATTTTAGACATCCCTTGCAAAGTCTGTGGGGACCGCAGCTCCGGAAAGCACTATGGGGTTTACGCCTGCGATGGGTGCTCGGGATTTTTCAAGAGGAGCATCAGGAGGAATAGGACCTATGTTTGCAAATCAGGAAATCAGGTACCAGCAGCAGCCTAGTCCCCGCACCGCCTGCACCCCCTCCCCTGCATTTCCCCAGGGGCCCGCATTGCCCTTGCCCCACCAACAGAGAGACTCCCGCAGCAAGGTGCAGCAGCCGCGCAGCCTCACCCTCCCTTGCCAGGGGGGCCCGGGCCGAGGCCGGGCGCTGTGTGCCCCAGCCCGCCTCCCCCTGCACGTCCGCCCTCCCCAGCCCAGCGGAGAGGATGGGGGAGATGCGCAGGGAGAAGGAGGGATGCGGGCAGGGGGAGGCACAGCCAGCACATCGCCCGGGTATGGGAGGACAGAGAGGGGCAGCCTCCCGGTAAGCCTCAGCACGGCCAGGCGATGGACAGCCATAGTTTTACACGCCGGCGTGTCGTGCCCGCGTCCAGGCGGAGGCAGCCCCGCTTTTTCCCTTCTGCTCCGGCCGCTCTCCTTCCCACTCCCGGAGCGTCCCCGCGGGATGTGAGGCTGGGATCGCGGAGGGATGCGCGGCGCTGCGCGGAGCCCCGAGGGGGCGGCGCCGCCGTCGCTGTCTCGGGTGCTGAAGGCGGCCCGGCCCGCCCCGCCCGGCCCGCCCTGTCCCGGGGCCGAGCACCTGGCACGGCCCGGCACGGCGCACGCAGGGCCGGCCCCTCCGCGCCTCCCGCCGCCGCGGGGCCTGCGCCTGGGCCGGCGGGATGGGCGCGCTGCTGCCCCCGGCCCGACGGCTGGCTGTGTTGCAGGGAGGTTGCCCGGTGGACAAGACGCACAGGAACCAGTGCCGAGCCTGCCGGCTGAAGAAGTGCCTGGAGGTCAACATGAACAAAGATGGTACCTGCTCCCCCTCTCCCGGGGCTGGGGTGGCGGGGCAGCAGGAGGGAGCTGCTCTGAACTGAGGAGCGCTGTGTCACTCCGGTGTCTCCTTGGCCCGGCCACGAATGACGCTCCCATCCCGCGGCAGCCCTCAGACACTGCTCCCCAGACAGCCCTCGGGCGGTGGGGGGCACAGGGCTGGCCTCAGAAAGTTGCAGGGAGGGAGGGAAGCGCCCAAGTCCGGATCCCCGAGGTGACTCCCTGCCTCTCTTTGATGCCCACAGCGGTGCAGCACGAGCGGGGCCCCCGGACGTCGACGATACGGAAGCAGGTGGCTCTCTACTTCCGCGGGCACAAGGAGGAGAGCGGCGGAGCCCCGCACTTCCCCGCTGCCGCCCTGCCGGCACCCGCCTTCTTCACCGCCGTCTCCCAGCTGGAGCCCCATGGCCTGGAGCTGGCCGCTGTCACTGGCACCCCGGAGAGACAGGCTCTGGTGGGCCTGGCACAGCCCACCCCAAAGGTCAGCCACTGTCCCGGCCCCCGGCGGGCTGCAAACCTTGTTGCTGAGGTGCCTGCGACCTGTCGGCTCCTTCCTGCCTCTGGGGTAGACATGGCAAAGAGCAAGGCTTGAAGCTTTGTGGGTTGTGGTGGGGACTTCTGTTACACCCCTAAAGGCTGTGAGGAGATGAGGTGCAACACCCTCTGGAGAAGCGGTATGCAGCAGGACCAACTGATAACCTGCTCCATACAAACCCTGTCTCATGCATTCTTATACCTTCATGGATGCAGAAATGCTCCTCCTGCCTGGAGCCCATCCACAAGTCAGTTTTAAACCTTGTTTCACAAGGAATGCAATCCCTGTGAATGAGTTTTCTTCAGAGAAATGCCAGTCTCCATGGTGGTGTAGTTCAGAAAGTACTTTGTGTACTGACCAAAGCCTGCAGTTTGTCCCCACAGACACAAAACCCAAACTTGGCTAAGCTGGCTCTCTGCACTTCTTGGTTGTGACATTTCCTGAGCAGCCCAGTGGAAGCACTGCTGTGGCCTCAACTGCACAGGAATTAGCTGAAAGGTGATGTTTTTCATTAGCCCATTTGCAATGGCATTTTGTGTCTTCACAGCATCTAGAAAATCACAGAAGAAGATGCTTAAATAGTTCTGCATTTTCAGAGCTGGTACATAGCTTGGTAGAACCCATCATAAACATGGTCACAGCATCTAGTTTGACGTGGTAATTTTGAAAAATGCTGAATCAGAATTTATTTGGCAAGAAAATGTAGCACACACTGGAAAACATAACTCCATTCAAAGCCTACACAGCCTCTAGATAGTTATGCTTGGCTCTGTGCATCTACTTACAACCTGTTGCAGTCAGGGAGCAAGATGAAGGATTAGGCTAAATGAATATTTACTGCTTTGCTGAGCAGGGCTGGAATGCTAAATCAGCTTCTGAAGCAAGGTTACAAACTACATCTTGTCAATCAAATTTTTATTCTTCTAACTCTGCTATCAGAGGTGTTCTGTTGTGTAACAGAGTAAAGCGTGACATAATTTTGGTACACTTTTCCCCTTTCATGCAATAATTTCATTCTCCTTTCAACCTCCTGCTCTGAACAGTTTCTTTAGTACAGCTCATCCACACGGATAAGCAGCAAGGAGCAGTTTGGAGTGAGCCCACTGCAAGCAATGCCCTCTGCTTGCAGAACACGAGAGTGCACACTCTGTATTGGGCATGAGCAGGAGCACTGAATGTAGGGGAGAGGCAGAGCTGGCTGCCTTGGTGGCACTGTATGAAATGGCTTTATTTTCTCTTTGACATTAGTACCCACATGAAGTCAACGGCACCCCTATGTATCTCTACGAAGTGGCCACTGAATCCGTCTGCGAGTCAGCAGCCAGACTTCTGTTCATGAGCATCAAGTGGGCCAAAAGTGTCCCAGCCTTCTCCACCTTGTCCTTACAAGACCAGGTAAGGCATGGCAAGTGGGAGTGGCAACGGCCTGGCCTGCTTGTTACAGAAGGCTCAGACTTCAATTGGGTCCTGGACTTCCAGCCCTAGACTTTGAAATCTGTAATGGACTTCAGCAGCTCTGAAGTTCAGCGTAGCATTTCAGTCTGCCCCTGAAAACCAGGCAGTGATTTAGAAACTGCTTTCCTCCAACTTTCATCTTATGAAGCAAGTGAAAAATCAAGCCAGGAAAAAGGAATCTAACATAAAACTAATATTATGGAAAGACAACTGCTAGAGGAGAAATCACCAGGCTGCAGAGCAAACGCAGTATGCCCAAACTGCTTTTCTACTTGTAGGACAATTTTTCCTTCCATAAAATGGGGAATAGCATCTTACTTTGCTATTTAGGGATGAGAAATGCTTAGCTAAGTTTATGGTCTCAGGATATGACTGAGGTTTCTGAAGACCAATTCTCCACCTCCTCCTCCTCCTCCTCCTCTACCAGTTCTCCCTCTTCCTCCTCCCCCTCCTCCCCTCATCCTCCTTCTCCTCCTCTTCTTCTCCTCTCCTCTCAACTGTTGACACATTTTTTCCTTATTCACCTTGGCTTACAATTATATCAATATGGTGGAAGCAGTATCTGGCCAGCCCCCAATATTTTTTACCATTAATTAAAATCTTCCCTAATATGTTTTGTTTTCCTCTATGATAATTTCCCTTTGCCTCAAGTAAATCATAGGTGAACAACAGAAGATGAAACAATTTCTTAATTACTTGATTCTTGATGAGGACTCAGTGTGCTTTGTATAATGCACCAATTTTTAAAAAGATAATTGTAAAATAGAAGGGTGAAAATCTACACAAAGCTCCAATCATAAAAGACATCTATTACTTTGATATGATTGAGCTAATTTACCAAAATGGTAACTAGAAAAACTGTGCCATAGATGTTACGTAGCAGTCATCAGAGGAACTAGTTCCTCTCCCCAGAAGCACAAGTGTTGCAGTTGATATGCAAATATGTATTTTGAACAACAAGAAAAGAGCTTCCTAGAAAACCAAGACTGTTTTCAATCTAAAGGTAAATAATGATGGTCACAATGTGTTATAAAGATAAGGTATATAAAAATGCTCATTTTCTAGCACCAAACCCACATCTTGAAATCCTCGTTGTGAAATTAGTCAAAGGGGAATGCTGCTCAGCTCTACCTGCAGTCCTGCTATGCAGTGAGGATGAGGGGAGAGATGAGATGGGGCCGGAAGGTCACACATGCCAGTAGGAAGACAACAATCCCAGTGTGGCATCCTGCTGCTCTCTAATGGAGTCTTCTGCTGCCACGGAGTCCTGTGGAGCACTGGGTCTGTGACAATGAGCAACCAAAGAAACAGGCTCAAGTGTCAGGAACAAGAAGCAGGTGCGCTGCTCCAGCAGCAGCCCCAGCACACAGGAGCACACTGAGTCCATCTCTGGACCAGTGATGTCCACAAGAGGCTCCCTAGGCAAAGGGTTTATCTGACATAACAGGGAGGCACTGCCCACACCATCATCTCCTGCAGAGGAGGCAGCAGGATCTGGAAGCAGGGGACATCTCCATGGTGTGTGACCAAGCACACCTCAAACAGCACGGCCTGCTTATCTACCATAGACACCACAGTGCTCCCATTAAATAACCCACTTCCTCTTCCACTGTCATAGCAGGGACTAATCTTAGTGAATAACATATTAAAAACCCAGCCTTTCCTTAACACCATTCTCACTTGCTGTAGCTCCTTGCAAGTCAGCTTCCTCAAAACTCAGAGCTGCTCAGCTCAAAAGCTTTGATTTGGGCCTCTTCCTGCATGATTCCCATCAGGAGAGCTGGAGAAGAAATAATTCTGATTTTAATCACCTTATTTCGTGAATAATCATACAGATTATTTTTATAACATTGCTATTGCTTTATTTAATTTGACAATGGCCCAGCTGTAAATGTCTGCATTTCTCTTTTGGTGTCCTTGACATCTGGCTGAGGAGAGACTAAAATATTTTCCTGAATTTTCCTTTTTTTTTTTTTTTCCTGCTCTTCTAAAAAGGCAAGTGCACTGTAATTTCAGGACTGTGGGGCAGTTTTATCTTGAAGGCAGGGAAATAAATAGAAACCAATTTACTGATAAAACACAAATCAGAGTATTGCTGCATTCTTACGTCTGGTAAAACAGAGGCTGTGTCCCTTCCCTAGATTCATACAGATAAGTCCATCTTAAACTGGAAACCACAAAACAAAAAACGTCATGCTTCTAGTGTTGCTGGCCTGCACACCTGCCCACCTTATCTGTGAGACAGGTTGGACCCAATGCAGGTCCCCAACAAAAGGTCACACCAAGGATGGGGTTGATTAAGAAGCAAAACCAGTTGTTCAGAAAGCCTGGTATTTGTTGTTTCTTTGAAGAAGGAGGGCTGAGTATGACTTCAGCATGAATTATTTTAATTGGTGGTTTTACAGACTTATGCATAGGCATGAAGAAAGCTTTAGCTATTGGAGGAGTCTCTTATTTTTAAAGTCTTCTGACTTTAAAGGCTTAGTGGGAAACAAAATATGAAATTGGTATCTTCCAGGAACCACCATTTATTGCCATTGTATCTGCATGAATGAATGACAAAAAAAGAGCAAATGAAAGCAAATGACAAAAGCAAATGAAAGGCTGGCGAATCATTTCCTATGTCATACAGACACCTGCACAACCATCAGGTGGGATTATCCAGAGGAGGGACTGGGTTTGCAGGCTGCAGTCATTAGGAAACTTAAGACTAGATTCATCTGCTCTCAGAAGAAAGCTGAGATGGGCACTACACTCCAGACACAGCACCCCTCCCCGTCTCCATTTCAGGCAATAATCTGTGCAGTTTTTGGTACTGTAAAATCCACTGTAAGTGTTTCAAACAACAACTGCATGCAGAGACACGAGTACCATCATGTCACAATTTCCTTAGGTCAATGGAGAAGTTCTGCAAAGCACACAGGGCAAAAAGGCCCTAATGGGGCATAACCCTGCAGTGACAAGTTGAGAGCAGAGACTCTGAGAATTCAGATTGGAACAGAATGGTTTAATACCATCCAATACCATTCCATGTAATCATGGAATCACAGGAGGGGTCAGCTTGGAAGGGATTACGTGTGATCCAACCTCTCTGCTCAAGCAGGGTCATGACAGAGCAGATGGCACAGGACGGTGTCCAGGCAGTTCTTAAATATCTCTGGTGAGAGAGACTCTACAACCACTTAGGGTCCCCTGTTCCAGTGCTTGGTGCACAGTAAAGAAGTTTTTCCTCATATTCAGGTAGAATTTCCTGTGCAGTTTCTGCCCACTGCCTGGTGTCCTAGTGGCTGGCAAGAAGTATCACTGTCCTGAATAGCAATATTGTTAAGAGTTTGCACATAGATGAAGGATTTGCTTTTACTGATGCTTTCTGTATCACCTACTACTTTCACATATCTGATTCCAAGGATATCATCATTAATTTGGTACAGCATCTTTTTTTTACTTTATTCTTCTTTACAGACTCTTTACATACCCTCTTCCTCTTTTCCTAATAAGCTAAGCTGCTGATAGTTTCAGGGACCATAACAACATCAATGATTGCAGATCTTGGGGTTTTGGTTTGGTGGCTTCATTTTCTTTTCTGCTTGAGTTTTGGGCAATCTGCTTTCACTGCATGGAGCTGCTAGAAGGTACCTTCTGAGCCCACTACAGTTCTCACCCCTTCAAATCTCTCTCACCCTATTTTGTGACACATGGTCCCAGCAACATGCACACACCACCACGTGCCTGCCCTTTGGCCATGCACTTCAGCTGAACCAGAGGTCCTCCAATCCTCTCTTAAGAGTTGGTCTGGGCTAACAATCCACAGATGCCCTCAAGACTTAACACATCTGTTCTGGCTTTGCTAGTCTGCATTTCCAGAAGTCTTGTCTCCTCTTCAGATGCACCACTGCCTCTTCAGGGAAATCACAAGCATTGCCTCAGAAAAAAACAGAAAAACACATCCTCCATACAGACATGCAATGTGCAAAAACTGCAGAGAACTAGCAATGCTGTCAGCATAGGTGCCTGGATAGTCGCATCTCTGAAAGGAAACAGCTCTTAATGCCTGGAATTTCTGAGTGATTTTAAGCAAAAAAGCAGAAAAACAGGTGACACTGAGAAATTGTTCGTGTGTTCAGATGCTGTGCTTGACAGATATAGAAACTGGTTAGTAAGGAAGGGTTTATAAGGTGGATGTGTGCTCTAAAGCACTGATCCCTACACTGATCCAGGATATTATCCAGGCTTTTCTTCACAAAATTCTGCCTTCCCGAGGGAAAGGAGTGTAATCCCCAGAGAGCAAGAGGAAATACCTGTCCTAGAACAGCTGTATAAGAGCTGAGATGAGAAGAGAACCCCTACCATGCTGATAAAGCAGGTGTGTTCATGCTGTGAGCAAATGCTCTGGGGAAAGAGCTCTCTTTCTTTCTTTCTCTTCCCTTTTAGTCCACAACATGGTGCACAGTGAGCCAACCCTCAGTGTTTTTCTACAATGCATAGACTTATTTCTAGACACCTTCTCAAAAGGCTAAGAGAAGAGCTAATGAATGCTGTGGGGGAAATACCATGACAGGCATTTAAAGTAGTTTTTAAAATAACAGAAATTTACATATTTAAATTGTTTATAAATCTATAAATTATACACTATGTTATATTGTACATCTATTGTATGACAGCTGATGCTTTTGGAAGATGCTTGGAGAGAACTGTTTGTTCTAGGAATAGCACAATGGGCCATTCCAGTTGATGCTAACACTCTACTGGCTGTATCTGGTAAGAATTGCACAATTTAATGACTTTGTTACAAAAATTACCATAAAAATACATTACTGAAAAAAGAACAACATGTAAAGAATAACAAATTCCTACTGAACAATAGAGCATACCTGTCATTTATAAATCTATATTTAAATGCAAATAATGTTGTTTTGTTGTATTCATGACTGCTTGCATTGTCATTTAAATGCAAATTACTGTGTTTGTTATCATCCAAGAGAAGATTTTATATTAACTTTCATACAATATAGTCAGTTTACATGGAACCAGATAGACAAGTGTGACAATAGAGAGGACATTGATACAGAGGATTTTGTCAGAAATCAATATGAAATAAAGCAAATGCCTTTAATATTATTTATTTCATTTCTTTCTGTTTCAGGCATGAACGGTGACAATACAGATTCTCAGAAGCTGAATAAAATTATTTCAGAAATACAGGCCTTACAGGAGGTTGTGGCTAGATTTAGACAACTTCGGCTAGATGCTACTGAATTTGCCTGTCTCAAATGCATTGTCACTTTTAAAGCTGGTAAGCAGAAAGGATCTCTCACTTGTCTGGTCTGATAACTGACGTTGCTGCTTTAAAGTGATGTTTTAAACCAGGCATAGCTTTGAATCACCCAGTAGGTTTCCCCATATTGAATTCCAATAGTCACTGCTGCATTTTGAAAGGGCTGGCAGTGGAGTGCTGGGGAACTAATGGGAATGTTTAATTTCCATTGATAGCACTAGCTGAACTGTTTTGATCCACCCAAGAGTCAAGTTGAACTAGTAACTGATCTGCTTTCCAGTGCCCACACACAGTGGTTCTGAACTGAGGAGTTTCCGAAATGCTGCTGCCATAGCAGCCCTTCAAGATGAAGCCCAGCTCACCCTGAACAGCTACATTCACACCAGGTCAGTGGTGTCTTCTGTCAATGCTTCTGGCAAAATCCTGCTCTGATTGCACGGAAGGTGGCATTTGCACTGACTGAAATGGGGACCAGGCTGCTACAGAGAGTATACATTGGCTGTCAGCCTGCTGGGATTTCTGAAATAGAACCATAGAAAATGTTGGAAAGGATCCTTAAAATCATCCAGTTCAACCATCAATGCTGCCAAGTCCATCATTAAATCATGTGCCCAAGTGCCACATCTACACATGTTTCAATGGATGATGACTCCACCATTTCCCTGTGCATTACTGTTCCAATGCTTGACAACCTTCTTGGGAAATAAATTTTTCCTAATATCCAAATTAAACCTCCATTGTTGCAACTTGAGGCCATTTCCTCTGTCTTATTTTTATGACTTATTTTATTTGTATGACTTATTTTATGACTTATGATTTATTTTATTTTTGGGAGCAGGGACCAAAATCCACGTCACTACAATTTCCTTTCAGGTAGAGTGATAAAGCCTCCTCTTAGCCTCCTTTTCTTCAGACTAAACAACTGCAACTGCCTTAGCTGTTGCTCTAGACCCTTAAACTGGACTTGTGCTCTAGACCCTTAACCACCTTTGTTGCTCCTCTTCAAGTGTGCTCCAGCACATCGGTGTTTTTAAACAAACAGAAAGGTGTTAAAAGGAGAGCTCTTGCTCTGGGAAGTAATAATGGCTGTGCAATTACTTCAGAGGGCTACATTTTCCTCTACATTTTATTCAATTAGATACCACTAAAAGTAATGCTCAAAACATTGCATCTCAGACAGTATGAGTGCCTTTCACACACGATCTCCAGTTCCCATATAACTTCCTCCATTTTGCAGACACAGAAAGAAGGACACAAGGAGCTTAAGTGGCTCTTCCAAGATGCTGCCTGGAATTTGTGATCAAGTTCAAATGAAAACCCCAGAATTTGTGAATTTCATTGTGGTGCCACAGCCAAGTCCATTTAGTTTCAGTGGAAGTCCATGAGACTAAAACAGTTGGAGCTGGAAAAGTGGAAGAGGAAGTTTTATACAATTTTTTCCCTCTGAAACTTTTATTTGCTATCATAGTAGCTCTGTCAGGCAGAAGTCCTATCAGTACAACACATTAGATGGTAGCAGTCTCTGAAGCACTTCTGTTAGTCTACAGGGAATGGCCTGCACTGGGGATGGAAGTAAAAATGCAAATTCCATCCAGTTATGGCTGCTTCAGAGCAAAAAGAGTAACTGAGCAGCTGCTGCATAGCAGTCTCTTCCTGTTCTTAAGGAAGGCCTTTTCCATGAAGATTGCTCCCTGGAGACCTTAAATGAAATAGGGCCTGTTGGAGAGAGGAGCCAGGGAGGAATACATAGCCATGTCTTCCCTTCCAAGGGAACAACTTTTCCACAGCATTTCTGTGTTGCTGGAAGTATTTAGATACTGTGCTACCCAGTGCATGTTGTAAACAATATCCTTTTACAAGGGAAAAGGCAGTCCACTGACAGGACTCAGATTCCATGGTGAGAGGGCTTTAAGCCTGTGTGTTTCATCCTCAGGCTTGAATTTATCCTCCTGCCAATGTCACTGCAGCATCAGCCCTTTGATCCCAGTGGAGTTGCTCTCAAGAGGATGCAAGGGAGGGCAGTCTGGGGAAGCAGCGTGTTTCTCTGAACAACCTACACTTCCCCTTAGGGAGACACTGTAAGCAGAAGTTTGAGAATCACTGTTGTAAACACAGCATAAGCACAGCTAAAAATGCACATCCTATGCTGTGCTGCCTTCAAAAGCTGGGAGAAAGGATGGAAAACATCCTATACACAAACACATTACCTGGGGAAAAGCACAGCTTCTTCAACAAAAACTTTCCTTACAAATGTCAATTGGTATTAAATATATCTGCCAGCCAAAAGGGGGCAAAGTGATTACCATGACAATCCAGCTAGTTCTAAACTGTACTTCAAATGACAGGGCAGTCACTACAAGTCAAGCTCTTCCCTGTACTGCATTGAGAACATTGCTGTATGAGGGACACATCAGAGCAGGTCCAGTTTTTGTATTCCTACTGCTCTGGGGGAATGAACAAAGGAGCTAAACAAAACTCAGAAACCTTGTTCTATGTTCTGCTGACTGCCTTGGAGAGTTTTCCTTGGAGTCAACCATGTTGCTCACACAAGTACAAAACACAGGGTTTTGACACAGTGTCCTGGGGTGACAATAGCATCCCACTAGATTCTGAGTCATTCTAGACCATGCAGACTGCACTTAGGTTGAGATTATGGGGTTTCCTCCCAAATTTGTCTCAAACTGGGACACAAAGGTAGCATCACCTGTGCAATTTAGTAAATATTGGTCTTTTTCTATAAATAAAGTCCTTAATTTCAAAAAATACTGTAAAACTTTAACAAAATTCTTTTTCTCTCTGTCTCCTAGGTATCCCACACAACCCTGTCGTTTTGGAAAACTTCTATTGCTTTTACCAGCTTTACGTTCAATTAGTCCATCTACAATAGAAGAAGTGTTTTTCAAAAAGACCATTGGGAATGTACCAATTACAAGACTGCTTTCAGATATGTACAAATCCAGTGACATATAAATTACCTTAAAATAAACAATCAGGATGGACAGTTTCAGAAGAACTTTTATCTATGGAGAATAAGCCTCAACTAACAAAATCTACAGGAAGCATAAGCCTGGGAATGTTTAGTCCTTAAACTCATTGACAAAAAATACCCCAGTAGATATGATTCTGCTGCTCTGAACAGAGTGATTTAGATCATGGAGAGAATGCTTTGTTCTACAGAAAAAGTGAAAGTGGTTGGAATTTGGCTGCTATTCCTGTTACTACAGGATGGAGGCAATTCAGATGCCAGTCATAGTTAACAAAGACTCTGCTATTCTCTCATTCAACTGGCAGATCTGAGACAAAATGTGAAAGAAGGTACTTTAGCTTGTTCAGTATTTGGAACTGGGTGACCAAACTTGGCTTCTGTTGTAACACAAGATGTGGTGGCCTTCAGAATTGTTTTAAAAGTAGCCTATGTTGGGAAAATGTTTTTAATATGATAGGCAACATTTGAGACCAAGTTACCAAAACATTGCTTCTGCTATAATGCATCATGAAGTGGCCTTCAGAACTGATTAAAAGGTAGCTTATGACGGCAGCTCCATTCTTCCTACAAAATGAACTGGTGATCTTTGACGCAGATGTCACCACAATTTGTTCAGTTAACATCTCAAAGACAGAAGAGCTTTATACATTTCCTCCCTGACCTTCCCTCCTCCTTCTTCCACACACAGACATAATTGAAACACACACACACACTCCCACACACACACACCCACCCACACCTGAAAAGAGACAACACAAGAAAGGAAGACTAAAACAGCAAAACCAAATACAATGGAGATGACCGCTTCAGTGATCTGCTGGCTGTCCCGTTGGCACAGTGCTGAAACCAAAGGCAACGGTGGCCAAACTCTTTGTCAATGAGATGTGCAGAGAAACGAAAAGACTATAAAAAAATCAATGGAAGGAATTTTATTTCAAAGAAATAAAGGTTGTTGACTGATACAATGCTAACAATTTCCAAAAGTTTCCAATGCCTTTTTAGAAAACTCCAGGTTCTAATTTTGAAGCCTTGTTCGCCTACACCCTCTCACACACAAAAACGTTACAAGCTGCTTATTTGATGTACGAATAATGTAGAAAAAAAACCATTTAAGGATAGCTGCTGTACTTTTCAAAATTTGATTTGTTATTAGGAACTAGCACTGAGAAAGATCAGCACTTGAACTATCATAGAATGAGTAAAACTTTTCCTGTACAAAGTGGATTAACCGATTTGTGAAGTTAAAAAGTTGTACTCATTGTATTTACAAAGAATAAAAATATATTGAATTTAAATTAATTTCCATTGTTCTTTCAACTGTTGTCCTTAATCTGCTTCTTTCATTGTCTCCTACTTACCAGGGAATAGAAGTATTCCTTACTAAAATGAATTGTCCTAGATCCTGTGGAGTTTCCGTCATCAGAGGTATTTAAAAACAGATTAGACAAACATTAAAGGAATAGCTTAGGTGATCCTGCCTTGTGAGATCCTACATGGAGCTATTTTCTGTAATTCAAATAAATACCAGCTGCAAGGTTTCTTTCTCAAGAAGGTGTCAGGTAGCTTTTTCTAGGATACAACATTAAGTGCATCAGAGGCCTACCCCAGTATGTGCCTTCTGTTGCATGTTATTACAATTTTTAGTACCAGTGAACTGTGCAGCTAACAAAAGGTGATGCGTACAAAAAATACTGCTTCAGTTAAAAAGACTGAGGTTTTATTAAGGTGTCTAACTGTATAATCACACCAAAGAAAGAGGGAAACAACTCCCAGTCAACACAACAACTTGGCAAGAGTAGGAGGGAAATGCATTGTTCATATGGCCATGAGTAACTGAAGAACCATGCTTGCTAAAATGACAGGTAGAAATACACTGTGTGTATTGATGGCTCACTGGTTTGCAGTGTCAAGGAATACAGGTCACAAGTGAAATCCTAGCTCTGCTTACTTCCAAGCTCAAAAATCTCACATGTTTCAGAGGTCAAAGTTTTAACCCCAGCTCTCTTCCGTTTGCAGTCTGCTGGGTCTCACATTCTATCTTTTCCAAGACAGATCATAAATATACAAGATGAGTCACAGGCTATGTGACCTCAAAGTATCTTCTATACAAACTAGCTTGGAGCACTTAAAAATGCACTTACCATAGGGCAGAGCACATTCTTAGACAGAAAGCAACAAACTGTTTATAATCCATTCTTCCTGCACCTGTAATAATCTTCAACTACTTTCTGCTCTCTACACTAAAAGGAATATAATAGGGCAGAAAAATCAATTGCAGTTCTCCAACTCCGTGACAATTCAGTCTATGAGCTAGAGAAGTAAAACCCAGTGCACAGAATCCATCACAGAACAGTGAGATTCATGCTGCTGTCCCAGAGCAGCAATAAACATGGACAACATCCACCCTGCTAGACAACAAGGCAATCACACCCTGCAGTTTGCTGCAGTCCCTACATTGCCCAGGCTAGAGGACAAAACAGAGCGTACCGGCAAAGCAGGCAGGGCAATGGCACCACATCCATATCTCATCCTCTTACCTGCAAGACCTGGCCCAGCTGCAGAGCAGACTCACAAGCTGGGAACAATGCCCAGATCCCTATGGTTTAGGCACAGCTAATCTCAGACTACATCTTGCTCCCACTGCTGCACGTTGCACTGAAGCACAGCCAGTTACACTACAGCAGAATTAGGGTCTCTAGCTAGCCTTGAAGGACATACGGCTAGGTGGGATCCCAGAGTGCTGTGCCAATGTCCTGTCACTCTAAAAGACCAATGCTCTGAAGTTCTCACTTTGGAAATAGGAATACTTTGACATCAAGCATGCAGCTTTCAACTCTTCAGCTACAATATTTTAGTTTTCTAAATAGCAAATGACAGAGATCGTGTCATCGTCTTTCAGGTTTAAGACGTGGCATTTCCTTTGATTTCTGAAAGAAGTTTCTCTCAGAAAATAACATTTGAGAAAAGAAAAATAACTTACTCTGTATCTAAACCTACATAATGAAACTTCAATATATTTAATCCTCCTTTCCCCCTTTTCAAGAATAACTCAGCTTTTAGGGGTGATTCAACAAGGAGAGGGAAATTTGGAAATTATTTACATTATCAAAAACATCTTGAAAAGCAACAGCCCTGGGTTGCAAATGGTCCGTCGGTTTTGGTCCTTGGTTTCATGAATAGAACAGTTAGAGAGAATAAGCACAGTCTCAGTTAAATATGAGGTTTCCACCTAAATTTAAATTATGCAGAGCAATTATTCAAACATCTATCTATTCAGTGCAGCTAATCATTAGTACTATGTGTAACCCAGCCAGCCACCACTGCCTTGTCAGTTCAGTCTTTTACATTCAGATTTCCATAAATGAGGTTAATGGTCTTACTTAAAAGAAGCTACTAATTTTGCCAGGAAGTTTGTAGGATGCTCTTTACAGAGATAAGTGTCATAAGAAGGAAAAAAGCAGCAGAGCTGAGTCTAGGCCAACACACAGCACGAAACACTAGAGTAAGTTGCTACTAGAATACTCTGGAATCTGCTGTCAAGAGCATCTGGATAGGCAACTTCAATGTCACATCTGGAAGACTAAGGAAGCTTCTCTAGCTCACTTCCCTCCTGTATAAAAGACAACTTCAGCAGTGCTGCCTGTGCATTGCAGTTCAGCCATCCAGCACCTGCATTGCACCAGTGGTCAAACCAGCACAATGCTACAGCTCACCCCTCCTTCAGTGCTTAGGGAAGTGGTCTGTGATCACATCTTACAGCAGACTTGTATGACTTCAAGTTCCTAATTCTATTTGTAGAGCAGAGCTATTTTAATCTAGGAATAATGTCATAATATATGTTATGTAAACATTCCTGTCTCTATAGCATGGCATAGTTTTCACCACGTATTTGAAGCTGGATTGATGCTTCTCACGCCAGGTAGAAAGGTACTCTTTTCCCAAATTAAAGTCACAGATCTGTTGATTGCCTCTCATGAGTGGTATTCCAGCTTTGGTTCCACAACACAGGAACAGCATTTTATAGCTTTATGTATTCTTTAACACTTCCAGAGTGAGTGCCAGCATCTAAAGATATTTAGTGCTGGCTGTTAGTGATACACAACTACATTCTGGAAGAGCATCACAGTGAGGCTGTAACACCAATTCACTTAGCACAGTCAAGCCCCTCCTCCTCAGAAAGCATGAAACACTCCACACTCAAGGTCAAGAGTGACAAAACATTTGAAGTGCATTTTCACTTTTATTTCAAAACTTTAGACAAGTTACTTTAGTATATAAATTCAATTTTTTCCTCTTACAGAATATAAAGATAATTCCCTCATTACTTCAGTATAAAGTGTTTTACAAGCTTGAAGACAATTGCATAAGTGTTTCTCATACAGGATATCAGAAATAAAGCAGTCTTTCTACAGACATTCAGACAGGTGACTACCTCAGAAACAGCATAGCAGTTTAGTCAAATACAAGTGAACACATGACACTACAGTTGTGAAAGTTCAAGTAAGGCCAAGTCAGTAAACATTGTTAATTCATTGCAAATAATAGTGGAAAGGTTTGTGAGACATTGCAAGGGGTGGATGGTTTCATAGTATAATACTCTTAAATCAAGGATTCAGAGGGATTTAGCTAGAAGACAAGTGAGTTCGTAAATGCTATAAAGCATATGCAAAGACCAAGCAGTGTATTGGTGTTAGTGGAGACCTCGTGCCTGTTCATCCTCAGCATGCTAAGACAAACTACAACCTCTTAAAACCAAGCATAAGAACCACTAATATTTGAGGAGATACTTTTAAAATTCAAGTATGTCTTATTTTGGATGGTGTGTAGTTTTTATCTATTACTTCATCTTGTAAGAACATGTGAAGACAACGCTCGTTCTGTGCCAGTGGGTGGCCTGCAACCCTGGAGAGAAAAAAAAACCAAGCATTAGTGTGACCCAATTGAGCCTACTTGCACCTATCCTGCAGATCAAGGTTTTGTATCA